CACCTCTCAAGCCTGTCAAGGTCTCTCGAGATGGTGTCCCTTCCCTCTAGAGTATCAACCAGCTTGGTGTTGTCTGCAAACTTGCTGAGGGTGCACTCAATCCCACTGTGCATGTCCATGACAAAGATGTTGAATAATCCTGGTCCCAATATGGACCTGTGAGGGACACGCCTCATCACTGGTGTCCACCTGGACATTGTGCGATTGACTGCAACTTTTTGAGTGCGACCATCCAGCCAATTCCTTATCCGCTGGTGGTCCACCTGTCAAATCCATGTCTCCCCAGTTTAGAGACAAGGATGTCGTGCAGGACAGTATCAAACGCCTTGCACAAGTCCCAGTAGATGAAGTCAGTTGCTCTTCGCTTATCGACCAATGCTGTAACCATGTTGTAGGGAGAGACCAAATGTGACAGGTGCAATTTGCCCTTAGCGTAGCCTTGTTGGCTGTGGCCAGTCATTTCTCTGTTTTCCATGTGCCTTAGCATAGTTTCCAGGAGGATCTGCTCTATGATCTTGCCAGGCACAGAGGTGAGACTGACCAACCTGTAATTCCCCAGGTCTTCCTTTGTAGACTTTAAAAATGGGGGTTGTGTTTCCCCTTTTCTAGTCAGTGGGAACTTTACCAGTCTGCCACAACTTTTCAAATATGATGGAATAATGACAAATACTTGTTGCGTGAGTAATGACAGTTGTAGGAGTGATCACTAAAATTGAAATTACCTAATATGTTTCTATTTTTTTTTTACTTTATTTTAGTGTTTGTTTTCTAGTTTAAAACTAAGTAGATATAAACCATGTTGCGTTTTTACATTTCTTAAAGGCTAATGAAAAGGAAGTAGACTCATGTTATTATGTAGTACGTTGATGCCAGTTTCCCTGGAATGCCATTGCATTAAAAAGCAAAATGGTACATTTGCTGTCTGAAACAAAGGAAGATCATGTCTGGGCCTTTGCCATTGTTTGTGTTGAAATGTGTATGATTTAATCTACCACAGTCATTACCAAGGAGAAATAACTACAGACTTCTCTGCCTCACCTCAAATAGTATGCTTCTGCAATTCTAACAGATAACCATATTTGATACGGAGTCAGAAGATCAGCAGGACATTGATTTAGCAATTCTGACTGCACTCTTGAAAGGTACCTTTCTAAAAACATGACCTGTTTTCATCTAACATACAGTCCCATTGGCCTACCTTTTCAAAGCAAAGGAGTAACATCAGTGTGTGAAAACTGCTAGGTTCTTTGCTTGTTTCCTAGGTACAAATATGTCTGCTTCAGATCAGCTGGATTTGGCGTTGGCGTGGAACCGGCTGGATATCGCCAAGAAGCACATATTGGTTTATGGACAGCACTGGAAGGTACTGTTATCTTTTAATTTTCAGAGTGGCTTTATTATGATGACTAATTTTCCATTATTTGCATTTTCCAGGCTTTAATTAGGGAATAGTTTGTTGCTTATAGTCATTCTTCTGCAGTAATCATCTTTGATTTTGGAGAGGCAGTATTCTTACAATTGTGAAGTACTCAACTGCAGACTGTATCAGATGAAAAATCACACACATTTATTTCCCCAGAGAAGAGGTGATATCTAAAATTCCCTTAGTTTTCGCTGCTAGCTTTTGCAAATAGTTTCAGTGGTCCTTCTGGATATGTATTCCTCAAGCCTGTGTTGGCAATCATTGGTGGTCAAGCATATTTCATTGTAGACCAGCGTACTCTTTTCTCCAAAGCAGTGAACTCCAAAGGAGCGTTGCCTCTATTTTCGTAGCTCTAGACAGAAATAAAGAAATCACAGTCCTCTATGGCGTTACCAGGTAAAAAAAAAAGGTAGAATTAACTGTGGTAAAATGGCATCATGGCATTATTTCAGATATTGTTTCTTAGGAATAGGTGCAATCTAGGCAAGCCATGATTTAGATCGACATTAACTGGATGCATGTGAAAGAACGTACAGTAGCAATTGAATCACTCCTATAAATTGTGTTTTTCAAGTTTTCAGATGTAATCTGGTATTGAAGTATAACCAACCCTAAGAGTTTTTATGTACAAAATATGATTTTTGTAGATGATGAATTTTAAAGTGAATGTGCCTCAACACATGCTATTCCCATTTGTCATGAGAATAAATATTTTCTTCAAGAAATTATATCTGATACTCCCCAAAGTACTTTTTAAGTTTCCTCTTCCAGGAATTACAAGGTTGATTTTTCCAGTCCCAATTGCCTTTTCTTCTTTACAATGTAAATTTTGGAAAATTGACGTTGGGTATATTTTTGGGGGGGTGACTGTAACTGGTTGTTTGACACAATAGGAGAGCTGAATTTATTGATCAGCAGTCTGTTATTTTCTTGTGGTGTACAAGGCTGAATACATGGAGGACTATGTCTGAGATGTCTACAACTGGGAATCTGTGAATTAAAGGAATATTTTTTATTGTTGTTACGTCTTTGGGCTCAGTTCACTATCTGTGGAGATGATCACGTCATGTTCTTGCACAAAACCTGGTAAAATAAATGGTGTTGAGTGCCCACTGAAAGGCAAAGGACAAAATTACTGGCTTCATTTTCAGGATTTGAACAGTGTGTGAATAATAAGGGATGTGTCAAGCCTGGAACAATAAAGTTAGAACAAAACGTTGAATAGCTCCGTCATAAGAGAGCATCATTCACTCTGTGAACTGAATAAGACTAAGCCCTCTGGGGAAACATAGTATATGATTGAGCAACGAGTAATTGTGTCAATTCATGGTGATGAATTATCTGGTAACTTTTGAGTGTTTGACTGCATAATCTTAACAGTCTTTCTGTCCAACAGACCTTTGTTTTTATGGAATATGGAAAAGATTCGTGTATACACAATGATGTGTGCATATTTTTGCCTGTGCGTTTGGGTTTTTTTTTACAATACCCTGTTATCTTTTGACTCTCTGAAGCAAATGTATTTTTCCCAATGTCTTCTTTCATTGTTTTATAGCACGTACACTATTCTATTTGTGTTTGTTTAGTTTTTTGCATTCAACAACTCTGCTGTGAACTGTTGATAAGCTTTATTGAAGCACACCTATGTAAGATATTAAAGAAAGGGGGACACCATCTATCTTACTGCTTGAAGTTCTATACTGTTGGAGTAAAGAGAGAAGCATTATGCTTTTGCCATTTTTATCATTGAAGATACATGTTGGCAAGGCCTGTGAGTCTGCATCATTCCTTTGTGTTTACATGAGAATTGCGTCAGATGAAACTTGCTTTGACTGGTGAATTAGTATAAATGGTATAATAATAGAATCATAGAACCATAGAACAGAATCATAGAGTCATTAAGTTGGAAAAGACCTTTAAGATCATTGAGTCCAACTGTAAACGTAACACTGCCAAGTCTACCACTAGATCGTGTCCCTAAGTGGCACATCTATGTGTCTTATTAAATACCTTCAGGGATGGTCACTCAACCACTTCCCTGGGCAGACTGTTCCAATGCTTGATAAACCCTTCAGTGAAGAAATTTCTCCTAATATCTGATCTAAACCTCCCCTGATACAACTTGAGGCCAATTCCGCTCATCCTATCACTTGCTACTTGGGAGAAGAGACTAACACCCACTGTGTTACAACCTCCTTTCAGGCAGTTGTAGAGAGCAATAAGGTCTCTCCTCAGCCTTCTTTTCTCCAAGGAACAGAAGGCATCAAATGAAATTATCAGGTAGCAAACAGCCACTGAAATTTAATATTCTCAGCTTAACGTCTGTTTATTTAGTAAGATCTTTGACTCTGATTCCCACAGCATTTTCCTGGAGAAACTGCCTGCTCATGGCTTGGATGGGTGTATGCTTCAGTGGGTAAAAACTGGCAGGGTGGCCAGCCGCAAAGAGTGCTGGTGAATGAAGTTAAATCCAATTGGTGGCTGGTCCCAGCTGGTGCTCCCCAGGGCTCAGTATTGGGGCCAGTTCTGTTTAATATCTTTATCAATGACCTAGATGAGGGGATCAAGTGCACCTTCAGTAAATTTACAGATGGTACCAAGTTGGGTGGGAACGTTGTTCTGCTTGAGAGTAGGAAGGCTCTACAGAGGGATCTGGACAGGCTGGATCGATGGGCCGAGGCCAATGGTATGAGGTTCAACAAGGCCAAGTGCCGGGTCCTGTACTTGGGTCACAACAACCCCATGCAGCGCTATAGGCTTGGGTAAGAGCGGCTGGAAAGCTGCCCTGGTGGAGAAAGACAGGGTGTGTGTGTTGGGGGGGGTGTGTGTGTGTGTTTTCATTGACAGCCGGCTGAATATGAGCCAGCAGTGCGCCCAGGTGGCCAAGAAGGCCAATAGTATCCTGGCTTGTATCAGAAATAGTGTGCCCAGCAGGACCAGGGAAGTGATTGTCCCACTGTACTTGGCATTGGTGAGGCCACACCTCGAATACTGTGTTCAGTTTTTGGCCCCTCACTACAAGAAAGACATTGAGGTGCTGGAGTAGGTTCAGTGAAGGGCCACAAAGCTGGTGCAGGGTCTGGAGCACAAGTCTTGTGAGGAGCGAGTGAGGGAACTGGGGTTGTTCAGCCTCGAGAAAAGGAGGCTGAGGGGAGACCTTATTGCTCTCTGCAACTACCTGAAAGGAGGTTGTAGAGATGTGGGGCTCAGTCTCTTCTCACTAGTAACAAGTGATAGCATGAGAGGAAATGGCCTCACGTTTCACCAGGGGAGGTTTAGATTGGATATTAGGAAATATTTCTTCACAGAAAGGGTTATCAAGCATTGGAACATGCTGCTCAGGGAGGTGGTTGAGTCACCATCTCTGGAGGTATTTATGTAGAGGTATGTAGATGTGGTGCTTAGGGATACAGTTTAGTGGTGGACTTCGAAGTGCTAGATTAACAATTGGACTTGATGGTCTGAAAGGTCTTTTCCAACATAAATGATTCTATGATTCTATGTGTATGGGAGATAACGAGTAACATTTTCCTAGTACCCACCGCTTTGACACAGAAGGTTTTACAGAACTATTGCATAGTCCCCTGTCTTCACTCCTGGCTTTCCCAAGGTTCCTTTTCAGTTTTTCTATATTTCTGACAATCTTTTCTGCTCTTCCGTGTACTTTTTTCATGTTTTAAAGTCATCTTTTGGGATAGGCAGACCAGCATTGTATCCATTATTTATTCTGTATTGATCTAAGTATAAATACTAATAGTCTGTATGCCTTTTTTACTTGTTTCCAACTTAAACTTACATTCATGCTTTCAGAAGATCTGTCCACTGACATTTTTTCTGAGTTAGTTTCAAGACTGATATGCAGGTAGGGTTGTTTCTCAAATGTACATTATTTGATGTTTGCCAGTATTGAATTTCACCTGCTTTTTTTGCTGGTTATCCCATATTATGAGATTTTTTTGCACATCTTCCCAATTAATTCTATGATAATGAGTATTTTTGTATCACCAGCAAGTATTGTCAAGTCAGTATCCAATATGTGGGATTTTCTTGGTGTCTGACCACTATTAATAATCTTTTTCCCTACCATTTCATCAGTTATTAAAGAATTGGAGGACCTTTTGCTTTGTGACAGCTTAATTTGTTTAAAATTCCTTCAAGAAAGCCATCATCAAAAGCTTTTGTGGGGATACAAATGTACTGTGTCAGTCTGACAGCCTTATCTTCATTGGACCTGCCAAAATTCTGGTAGAGTTCTGATTTCATTCTGCAAAATAACTTGCTTCCTCTTACTCTACTTAGTTACCCATGTTGCTATTATTGCTGTTCCTTATTGTAGTTTCATTATGTTTATCCTTACAAAATTCTAACTGTATTGATATGCCATGCTTTGACAACTTGTACACTCCTGTGTCTTTTTTAACAATTGGCATATTTTCTACTGTCTTCCATTCTGCTTTTAGAGGAGCTGATTTCAGCTATACTTCAGTTCCCTGGGAACTCTTAGGTGAATACCACCTGCTCCTGACAATTTGCTACCACTTTGTGGATGACTTCTGTAATCTTTTCTACTGACACTTCAATTTGACACAGTTCCTCAGATTTGTCTGCCATAAAGAACAGCTTTGATGTAGGACCTTTCCTAACATGTTCTGTAGTGAGCAGTGAGGCAATGAATTAACTTGTCATTTCCGAAATAGCCTTATCTCCTTGCATGTTTCTTTTATACCTTGATCATCCTCTGGCCTTACAGATTGCCTGGCAGTCCCCTTACTCCTGCTCCTTGGCTTGTGATACGTTTGGAAAAGATCTATGTACCTGTTCATATCTATTTCAGTGTAATTGTTCAGCACCACTTTGAATGAAAAGTTATTCTCAAATAATGAGTATGTTCTCTCCTTCAAGTAAGATATAAAGAGCTCATAATAAACACGCCTTACATCTCTCACCGCTTCTCCAACAAGCACAAATTAAAAGACATGTATTCCTGAAAGTTTTTCTTTTGACTGTGCAGGAAAAGATCTTAAATAATGATATTTTCACCATGCATTGTAAAAAAAAACAAACCAAAAACCACCAGAAAATGCACGAGCACAATTTTAAAGTTTACTTTGGACTTAGTTACTTTATTAATTAAAGAGCAGTACCACTCCAACTGTCAGGGTCTGCGAGACCTGCAATTGTCAGGGTCTACAGTTTGTGCATGGTTATTGTGGTTGTGTGTTCAAATTTTGAATTAGCAGCAATTTTTAGGTGATTGTCCATGCAGTTTTAGTATTTTTCTGTCGATTTAAGTGTTTTAAGGAAACATGCACAATTATGCACAGATTATGGCCATTTCTTTTTAGAAATCTGGTCCCAGTATTTCCGAAGGTAAAGATTGTAACCAGCTGTAACTCTGTTTCTGCTTAAATGTCAGCTCAGTCTCAAATGGACTTTACAACAAAGAATGTCATTCTAGCAGTTACCGGGTGGCTGTCTAAACCTCTTTAGACACACTGCCAGCGCAAGGAATGACGGCTTGAGGAAATTCAATACAAGAATGTTCACTTAGAGATATTTCTGGAAGAAACACCAATAATTCAGGAACAGGGCTCAAGTTGCACATCTTTTCTTGTGTGACAATTCTGTAACATGTATTGGTCATCTTTTAGTATTACTTCTGCCAAACGTAAATATATACGTGGAAAGGACTAACTTCACGTGCCAAGTTATGACTAGCACCTGCCCCATTTGTGTGCCAGTGTCCTCTTTCTGCTCACGCCACTGAGTTTTCTGTGCGTACGTGTTCTGTAGAAATTCTTTATATGGATTTATATGAACCTCATATGCCCAACTCCTTTGCTATTCTGCATGTAGAAATCCTGCTGAGCTCTGTGCAAGTGCCACGAGTACAGTGCTTTCACTGTTTGGACACTGTTGTAGGTAGAGCTGTACTTCATCGTGTCTTTGGGAGAGTTTATCCTAATGCAGATTCTCTCTCATATTTGAAAAGAAGTCTGCTTTAAAGAACTTTAAGTTCTATGGAGAGATCTTGAAATACAGTACCTTGAAATGGATTTTGTCATATGTCAAAAAAGAAAGGCTTCCTTCCGCCCCCTGCATTATCATACATTAGCTTCTGAAGTGAATTAAAGAGAAGAGAATGTATTATCTGAGTCTGGTTGTAAAGTTAGATTTGTAGAAGTCTCTACAGATGCTGGGGTTTATGGAGACTCAGTTTCATTCCCCCTCTCTGTTGGATTTTTTACACAGATGCTTCCTCCAGCATGTTTTTCTTTCATACTGTGCACTTTAAATATAGGTAAAGACAAATCAGTGTGATAAAGAGATCCCTAGCTATTCAGGAATGTTTTATTTATTTCCAAAAGAAGACAATTTTCTAAGCTTTTCCTTTATCTCTGTCCTTTTGGAGGTTGGTGCCTTGGAACAGGCAATGCTGGATGCGTTAGTGATGGACCGTGTGGATTTTGTGAAGCTGTTAATAGAGCATGGAGTGAACATGCACCGTTTCCTTACTATATCTCGTTTGGAAGAACTGTACAATACAGTGAGTGTTTGAAATCCCAGTGCACAACTTTAGATAATGCCTAGAAAGAGTACTGTTTTGATAATTAGGCCGTACTTTTATGAAGGATTTTTGAAAAAAAAAAAAAAGGAAAAAAAAAAGAAAATTAACAGGGTTTGATAATTTTTGATTGTAATGTTAGATTTTTGGATTGGTGTCCCAGTTTTTTATTTTTGAGTCATTGACATGAATCAAACTGAGCAGTCACCTGAAGCTCACGAGAAATTTGTTCTGGTTTTGATCTGGTATGCAATACATGCTTATCTTGCTGAAAAATATTAGGTTGTTTAACAAAGTGATACCAACTTCTTTGTAGAATATGTCAATATTTAAGATAGTAGAGGTGTTGACGATTGGTGTTGAAATGTTTTTGAAGAGCTTTGTGGAGAGAGTTTGAATCACAGTAGCTTATCCCAAAGATCTTTTAGCTGCTTTCTTTTGCTGTATTTATTTTCTAATGTAGATTGACATGTTTGTTTACTGTCTTTTCTTTTCACACCACAGAAACAAGGACCATCAAATCTACTTTTGCATCACCTGGTTCGAGATGTGAAACAGGTAATAGACATGGGAAAGGCTGGGGAGCAAAAATGGTAGCTTAGAACTTCAGTGACCACTGCCACACTGCTATTAGGTAATACAGGGCAATTTTAGGAATAGAAGTGGTGGTTTCATTACTACACTCCTATATCTACTAAATGGTGTTATCTTCATCCCACTGGTCCCCCTAAGCAATTAACTAGCATACTACTACTGAATGGTCCCAAGGGTCCTATACCTTAATTTCAAAGCCATGGGGTTTGTGTAGATCAGACTCTCTTTCTCAAGTTACTAAAGTGACATTGTGAGGTGATTGTACAAAAGACTTGGTGAGTTAGTGCACTAATTATGCTGATGGCTTTAAGGTTTTACTTTTTTTTCCCCCCAAAGCTAAAAAAATCTTTCATTGCTGAGCAGTAACAAAAAGATGCTGTGACAAGATATATCATTTTAATGTGCTGCATTGCTTAGTAGAACAGAAGGTGGCAGTGGATGACTACTGCATGGAGCACTGGCTCCATTAGTAGTTTAGCGGCAACCTTGTTATAGCTACACCGTTAATTTATTTCGTGTTTCTGTTATCTGTTTTACCTCACAGTGCTGCTTAGCCGGGAAGGGATGAGCTATTCTTTCTACATCTAGTCTCTGCTGCAGGACATGCGTAGATCCCAAACTAGATTAATTGGGTAGTTCTTTCCAGGGTATGAATGATAAGATAAAATAGTAAGTCTGACTGTTTGCAGAGTTCTGTGGTCTCAAGTAGTGAGACTTCTGGTATGATTTTCTTATTGTGGGTGACTTTCATGTCAGTCCCACTGACGGTTCTGTAGAGAGGTGTAGGGTATTCTGGTCTCCACGGCAAGTTATTTTCTGAGTTTTTGCATACTGATGGACACGTTTGAGGTCTAATTTATGTGATAGATCTGGAAGATCTCAGTGTTGAAAATATATTGAGCTTTCCAGACTGAGAAATCTGTCTTTGCCACTGATACTGAAGTGGTTTCCTCCTTGATGTGACCCCTCTCCTAAAACCCATGTCCTTGTTACGTCTCAGGACGCTCTGGGAAAACACAGGGTGTGGTCTAAAGGGAAGCGTTTGGTCCTTGAAATGAAATAGTGGAATTTAGGTAGAAAATGGGTGCACAATTTCAAAACTTAACTGCACCGTTGGGTAAGCTAAACTTACTTGGCACCTGCAAACAGGTCTAAACGCTGAAAAGTCTTTTTCACCTGAGCTTCTGTAAGTGTGCATAAATGCTCTGTGAATAGGTTTTGCAGTTGCAGTCTTACTAAATACGGTGACACAGTAGCTAGGAGAGTCACCAGAGTGATGTGACCATGGGTTTCAGAGTATTTCCTCCATGAGTGTGACCAGCTTTGCTGCTGCTACATTTGAATGGAGATACACTGCAGTCTACAATGATGGCATAAAATGATCTTTTTAGTACAGAGAAGTATCTACAAGTATAGGTAGTCAGAAATACTTGCTGAAGTCTGAGTGACAGAGCTGGAAAGCTCCATCCTGTGAGATGTGTTTTTGCCCCAAAGTGCTCAGCATGTTGCTGCCTTCTGTTCCCCAGGGGTGGGTGGCCTCAGCTGGCTGTACTGAGACTTGCCACTAAAGTCTATTGAAAAAAACACCTCAGTCTAATGAAGAAAATGATTTTTTACAGTCTGAAAGGCATACAGCGTTAGGAATACAGAACGCCTCTGATCCTACCTATGCACAGGCCTGTTTTTCACTTCCAAGTATTGTGATTTAAGGTTTTACCAATATTTTTTTAAAATCTGCATGGAAGATAATCTGTTCTTCAGAGAATTTTTCTCAAACCATGTGTCATGGAAGGACAGTAGAGGTAAACTGGGAATCAGTGATGCTTTAAGCAGAAGTGGTGAGAGACTCAGAAGGTATGTGCAGCTGCTGTCCTAGTTATCCTGATGATATTGAGCCTCTACAAGAGATTACCAGTCTCCGGGAATTACTCTACAACATCAAATGCATGCTTCATCTAATTCTTCATTTTTAGTTAATGAAGTAGTTTAATGAGCAAATTGTACCATGCTAGTTTTCTCTTGTTATGAGAAGAAGATTATTATTAGTCTGGCTGGTGGTGATTAACCTGAAGAACCATTACCCTCACCGTTGAATGCAGCTGGTTTTGTGAACATTGCAATATGCATCCCTATGCAATGTGGGTGCAGTGGACTGTAGACATCATGCTTTTCAGGCTGAAAATGTGGATTTGCCTGTGTTCTCCCTCCTAGGGGAGTTTCATAAGCCTAATGAATGTGCACACTTTACTGACATATGTGGGAGCTCTCAGTTGCACCTTCTTCCAGCCTCATAGTAGTAGGGCTCTGACATGGTTCAATGTTGCATATAATAGTGTCATGAAAAGCTTGTGATATTCGGTGTTTCAGAATACCCTTTCCTTGGATTACAAGATATCACTGATTGATATTGGACTGGTGATAGAGTACCTTCTTGGTGGAGCTTATCGGAGCAGCTACACAAGGAAGCATTTCCGAATTCTCTACAATGATCTCTACAGAAAACACAAGGTAACTTCTGTGCAATGGCTACCACTAGTCACCAAGAAAATCCAAGATGTGACACCTGAAAATAGCCCAGATTGTCATTGTGGTTTGTCTGAAGAGCATCAGTTAAATGTATGCCATGCTTGTCTGTTTTATGAGTCTCTTTGCCAGCTGTGGAGAGGTTGCAAATAAAACAGACAAATCCCTCCCCAAACTACTTCTGGCCCCCCAGGACTACAGGTGATTGTTAAATTAACCACTGGTTCAGTAAATTTACCTTTGTGTCCGGTAGCAGGGTTGTGTTTTTTTCATCTGTCGTCCATTAACAAAGATCGACAAGGCTGTATCAACCACCGTTTTCCCGTTTGTGAAGCAGTTGAGTGTTTCTGCTCTTGCAGCTTGAACCACATCACAGAAATACTGAATTCAACAGGCATTGAACTGGACTTAAAGCATGTCAGCAAGGCATAGTGAAGAGAAACGTGGAGATCCCTAACCCAAGTTTTGAGCAAATATGTTTGTTTTATGAGCAAATATGTTATGTTTTAGAAGCAGCTCAGCGCTCGTGGTGCATCTTCCTGCCCAGACCAATGAGCTGTGGTTACCTGGCAGAGCTTTTTCTGTGGCGCACTGGTCATCACAGGGGAAGTCTCATGCTGGATGTGCCAGGCTGCACCCATGATGCGATGGCTATGTGTAGGCAGAGGGTTGTGCTTGGACACACATGCTGTTCTGCATCTTCTGGATGCTTAAGGTGTTTTGCTGTATGGCATACCACTGTTCCATGCCTGCACGTCAGTAGCATCACCTCTACAAACAAACAAATTGCCTCAGAACAACAGTGTCCAAACATACTATCACTTTCATTTCTCCCATTGCTTTCCAAAACCAGTAACTTGAAAACAGCCTAAACTTCTCAATAAATTAGCTGTATGTCATTCCCAGCATCACAGATGGAGTAGATTTACTGCATAAGGATTCTCCCTGGTTTTTGGAGTAGAACTGGACCTTGATTAAAGTACTTCTATATGTTAAAAAAAAAAAACCCTCTCATCCCCATGTGCTGCTTTAATGGCTGAAAGAAACTCAGGTTGATCAGGGAAAATCAAAGAAGACAAGAAGAAAATTAATTATTTCTTCTTATAGAAAATGAGAAGAAATAATGAAAACTGTTACTTGGAGTGAATAGAAGCACAGAGGCAGAGCTTTCTATGTGTCACTGGCTTAATACAATGCTTAAAAAGAGATCTCCAAGCAGTTGTAAAAGGGATGGGTGAAACCACACGATCATATAACTAGGTACTGCAGGGAAGACCGTTAGTGATTCAGCTGGTAACATTCTTCCCTCTCACTCAACACTGAACAAAATACCTAGGGATGCTAGACATGCCATCCTTTGGAGGAAGTGGTCAGCAAATAATTCAGAGAACTTTTGTCTTTTAAAGCATTTCTGGCACTTTTTGTACGGGTAGGTACTCAGAAGAGCTTCCAGGTTGGGTGATTCCAATCTGGTCCAAGCCCTGTTGTTGTAATTGGTGGATGCTGTTGGGGAAATCAGTATTTTGAATTCAGACATTCAGAAAAATATGTATTTTTTTAAATCAGATGTGAAGCAGGCTATTTTTCCTTTGATGGTATGAACTCCAGTGGTAGTTATAGTGATTGCTGACTCACTAGGCTGTGAATAACATCAGTTTCTACAGGCACCATTGCAATCAGAGATAAGTACAGACAAACTTCATCTCTAATTTGCATTTCTCTCCTTGTGTTTTATGGTATCTTTGGATCTAGAGAGTGCTTTCCAGCTTTCCACAGAGCCTGTCTCATTCTCTTCATCAGAGTAATCAGGCGGGTAGCAAAATGGGATCGGCTGAAAGTACTTTGCATTCTCAGTTCTTCAGAACAGCACAGCCTTACAAATGCAAGGTAATATAATTGCTTATTCTAGACTTTGCCTAGGACATATTAAGCTGCTAATCATTTTAGAGACATGTGTTGGTCAGGCTGTTTGTTATTGTAATTCTTCTTAAATTCCCATGGAAGCAACATTTTACTGCTCACTGTTCATGAAGTAACAGTCTTGCAATTTTAATGTTGAAATCAAACTCAGATGCCTCCTGTGATACTTTTTAGCTTCTATCATTTTGTTGCTAAGGGCTTTTGTTCACTGAAATGTAGTATCACCAAATTTCTGAACATCAAGTATGGGTGAAAACTTTTCTTATTTGGAAGCAACAGTAGGAATTCTCTGATTTTCCTGATATTTTTCTCATGATTGCTACACTGTCTGCTAAGAAGAGATACAGTTCTGATATCTGGAAATTGATGACAGAGTATTTTCTTTCAAAGAAAGAATGATAAAAAAGCAGGGACTGCCACATACTTATATCTGACAGACAAAACATAAAGTAGAACAAATTTAAATGGCTTTATTAGAATTAGTCTGAGCCAAAATGAATACATTATAGCACTGAGACAACCTCACTTATACCAGTAGGACTTTTCTTTCCTGTTAATGGATCTCGAGAGACCTTGACAGGCTTGAGAGGTGGGCCCATGCAAACCTCAAGAAGTTCAGCAAGGCCAAGTGCAAGGTCTTGGAACTGGGTCAGGGCAATCCCAAGCACAAATACAGGCTGGGCAGAAAATGGATTGAGAGCAGCCCTGAGGAGAATGACTTGGGGGTGTTGGTTGATGAGAAGCTCAACATGAGCCAGCAATGTGTGATCGCAGCCCATAAAGCCAACTGTATCCTGGGCTGCATCAAGAGAAGCGTGGCCAGCAGGCTGAGGGAGGTGATCCTGCCCCTCGACTCTGCTCTCGTGAGACCCCACCTGGAGTACTGTACCCAGCTCTGGGGCCCTCAGTATAAGAAAGACCTGTTGGAGCGACTCCAGAGGAGGGCCACGAAGATGATGAGAGGGCCGGACCACCTTCCCTGTAAGGACAGGCTGAGAGAGCTGTGATTGTTTAGCCTGGAGAAGAGAAGGCTCTGGGGAGATCTTATAGCCCCTTCCAGTACTTAAAGGGAGCCTGCAGGAAAGGTGGGGAGGGGACTCTTTATCAGGGAGTGAAGTGATGGGATGAGGGGTAACGCTTTTAAACTGAAAGAGGGTAGATTTAGATTAGATATTGGGAAGAAATTCTTAACTGCAAGGGTGGTGAGACACTGGAACATGTTGCGAGAGAAGTTGCAGCTGTGCCATCCCTGGAGGTGTTCAAGGCCAGGCTGGATGGGGCTTTGAGCAACCTGGTCTGGTGGGAGGTGCCCCTGCCCATGGCAGGGGAGTTGGACCTAGATGATGTTTAAGGTCACTTCCAACCCCAACCATTCTCTGATTCTCTGACTCTACTCGCAAAAGAGCACTTGAGCCACTAAACATGCCAGCACATTTCGAAAGTACGTTTCAATACACAGAGACAGAGACAAGTTCTAGGCACAATTCTGTTATGAGTAGAAGAATGGATGGAAACATTTCTAAATCACAAATAAGACACTAGTAGAGAAGAAAAAAAGTAGGAATTACTTTATCTTTCCTGTGAAAACAAAGATGTCTGGGCTTTTTCTAAGATCAGAATGTCTGTCATTTCATAAGCAACCACTGAAACTTGAGAAGTTAACTAAACAGCATCTGTGGAGCTACCCAATATATAAATTAGTACAGACACACAGACATCTTTGTGTTACCTTTATATTCGAGATACAACTGCTGTGCCCACACCAACCCACCACAGAAAGAGCAAAAAGGATAACAGCAAATGAAGATGTCTTGAACTCAGAGCGTGAACACCACTCACAGACTCTCTGTGCTCCATGCATTCCATCAAAACATGAAATAGATGATTGGACTGTTTCTGTCCCAAGCTAAATGTGTTTTGAATCATCATCAAGACCTCGTCCTTCACTTGAGGGCGCAGCTCCCTGAAAAACAGATAAACAAGCAAGAATAACTATATTTTTAGCTACTTCCTACCAGCCTAAATGATACCTCAGCAAAAGTCAAAACTCGTGCTAAGCAGAGACCTATGAGAAATCTCTTTTGTTTCTACTTCTCTGCTGACTAATTCCTGCCTTCTTTCAACTAAACAAAGCAAAGGCATCATGTAATGTAAATTATTATTCACGCAGGCATTAGCTCTGACCATACAGACATACCATTGGAAATAGGATAAATGAAAAGAATAACAATTTTCAAAGGATTGTCTGTGAATACAGAGCTAAAATCACTACAAGTTTAGCAAACTTTTTCTTTCTTTCAATAATCATATAGAGATAAAATTAAATTCTGCATTATTTGTTCATTAGGATTCATACTTCTCCCATCTTTTTTCCCCTCATTTATCTTTCTGTTGATCTTTCCATCCATATTTTCCTGCTCTTTTGAAATGGCAGGACCAGTTTTTTTTAAAGATAAATTATGGGAGAAAAAGCAAGTGAAGAAAAAATTTCTCAATACAACACACTAGGGAAAAATACCACACCCCCAAAAGAATATTTAGAAAATATAATAAATAAACAATTAGGGTATAAATTTTGTTAAATTTCTTGCAGTTTTGAATAGAATAAACCCAGGCCACATTTTTTAAATTTGCTTTTTTTTTTATTCAAAAAGCCCCTTTGACGTTGAAAAACTTTCACAAAAATATTAGTTTGCTACACAAATACATATATATTTATTTCCAATTTGGATGTAAAATTTTCATCAAGGCAGGTTTAATAAGTCTGCAGCTGAGGTTGCACTGGAGGTGACATAAAGAGTTACAATCAGATGAGGATGACAAATCTGGGTTACCACTGGGTAAGCCAAAGCCAAGGAACCTTAGTCCTCCTCCTACCCCAGCTTGAGGCTCTTACAGCAACTAAGCCCAGCCCTAGATTCAAAAGGATTGTGCAACCCAAATCCAAGCCCACTTACAGAATACTGATGGCAGGAGAAAGGACTGATTTAATACCCAAGCAGGCACTCTGGAGTCACCCAGCAGTGTCCATTGTCAAAGGTGAGAAACATTATAGTAACTCAAAATAGTTAGATGCTGTTTCTTTTTCCTCTTGAAAAAAGCCTTAGTAAATTTGGCAGAATAATTCTTTCAGCACTAGTTTGAGGCAGGGAAGGAAGAAGCTATGCTCTCACTTTACAGAAGTAAAAGCCAGCAAAGGACCATGGTGGGGTCATTACTAGAAGCATTAGCAATTATCTCAGTGGTTTTGAGACAGGCATTTTCAGGTCCCTCCCAATACAACAGACCAAGCAGGAGGAGCATTATGCCACTACTCACCCCATGTCACCTGTGTGTTTGTGGGTAAAAGCCAGGATATCTGCAGCTCTGCCAGTGCCCTCATAGACCACCACGGGGACAGCTGGGCTGGCCCTCACGTACTCCCACACCATTAGGATCACATTGGGGCCTCCTTCCACCACCAACCCAACTATGGGTACGCCTTGGCCCATTCCTGTTTCAAAACACACCTAACCAGTTACAAACAGGTCTCAGTCACACAAAAAAAAAATCAGAACAACTGGTAAATAAATACTCATGAAGGAATCTCATACATGGTTCTATGGAGAGGAAATCATGCCTTCACCATCTCAAATTTGACTTACACTTTTGAAGACTTCCACGGAACTTCTGCAACCAGATCAAAAAGACCATGAAAACCTCCTGATAAAATTGTAAGGGGCCCTAGCCTCGGAAAGAAGAAACATCCTTCAGAATATCCCTCTGCCTTTTACAATAGGTCTCACATGCAATGACATTGACGGCATTTGGAATGTCGTAAATACCCATTTGTTCACCTACACACATAGAAAAGTAATCAGGCACTTCTTAATAGACTTTCTCAAGTTTTACAGCAGTAGGGTGTTTTTTTTAACAATCAGAAATGCATTTCAAATAAGACACAATAGAAATAGAAAAACAACAGAAAGTCAGACTTGCAAAAACTCATAGTAAGAAAAGATGTAAGAGGCTGACTAAGAAGCTCTAAATATGAACACATTAAAAACTGGGTAAGTTTCTAAGTTTGTAAATTCTATAATGTGAGCTGATAAAGGAAACAGGGATTTAACATCATAACTCTGCTAATGTATTTTTAACATACATCAAGATTTAAATCACTAGGTAAGAGTGAACTTCCACAAATAATTTACACAATCTACTGCATAAAAGAAATACTTGTCTATGTGTTAAATATTTCATTCATGATTTCTATACCATAACTCAGTTACTGTACAGGCAAACAATAAAAGTTACAAAATCTGACAAATAAGCATTGGCTGAAGGTATTCCTTTCACAACCAGTCTTTGTTTGTGTACCTGAGGAGGTCACAGGCTTGCAATAGAGAAGAGTGACAAAGATAAAACTAATGAACGGGGGAAGAAGGATTCAGATTCCACTGAATGTGACAATTTTTCCACCTAGCAAAATTCTGGGAAACTATCTAGCTCTAATACAGAGATCACGCAAAACTGCAAAGTGAACAAATGCTCAATACTTACTAAATAATCTGAGTCATTTATATGTTTCTACAACTGAGAAACCAAAATGTAAGTTAGCCCAAATGCATAACACTGTATAAAAATGCTGTCCTCTTCAATTTCCTGATATTCAGAGTTCAAGACACCTGCAATTAATAACTTTTAACCTCAGCGAAATCTATGGCAAATGAAGATGTGCAACACAGAAAGGGAAAAGTCAAGTACCTCCACAACTTTTAGGATAGGTTTCTCCATCATAAAGCTGACCACAGCAGTACTCACTTGTGTGTATTTTTTGAAGTGATATGTACTTCTCCAAATTCCTCCTGAGCATCATTTCATTCCCATACTTGCCTACTGTCCCATCATCTGCCATTAGAAAATGAGAATGCATGCTGTTGAGGGTACTTAGCTTGCTGAGTGGATTACCAAGAGTCTGGTACAGGCAAACTACCTAAAAAAAAAAAAATCAAAATAAAAGATCTTCAAAGAAACCAACAAAATATCACCATTTAGGTTGCTTTGTTTGTACGTATTTCTTTATCATGTTGTGATTTCCTGAAAGCCTGCATCACGTTTTTTGCTGCTCTACTTAAACATGGGTTTTCATTTGATTCTTAACAGCAACAAAACCACAATTAATATCACAGAAAGCATTTCTGATTAGGCCTGCAGTCCTTAGGCAGAGTAACTGCCTGCCTTTCTTTGCAACAGTTGAAACACAATGGCATGTTTTTCCTGGGTGTATTCCCATTAAAAATATGTGAGTTATCATTTATCAGGAATGATTTCACCTTACTTGTCAAGTGTTTATAGACAGTTATGTAGATTGCGCCCTCACATTGGCACTCACATGAACTTCTAGTTTATGAATAAAAAACATGCATATTAATAGCCTATTTGTGTATACCATTAACCTGATTGCTCATCCTGAATCACATGAATATAGAAATACATCATTTGCAACCACAAGTGAATTGCCTAATTAATTACAAAATTTCAAAAAGAAATGGCAATTTCCTGTAAGAAGAGAAATATTTCAGAGCTATTCATCTACATATAAAAAGCAAAATACAGTGCCTCAACATGCCACGGAATTCTACTGCTGAGCAAAATCTAAGCCTCTATTACCGAGAAAAAATATCAAACCAGTGAAATGAAGCAAACAGCAAATAAAGTTTGCAAGAAAGCGGTAACATCCCCTGAACATGAAGCCTTTTATAATTAAAACACGTCCAACTCACATCTTTTCCAATGAGATCCCTCTGGTTCTCAATGATACCCCATGGAGGAATCCCAACAGCACAGATCTTTCTCAGGTGTGGTGAGGCACAGCCTTTCAGCGCATCCCCCACATGCCTGGACACTCCTAAACAATTAAATCATCATTTTTCTTCTGCATTCAGAGACCTGCTACAGAACACTAATGAAAGGGTTTCCCACAATTTAATTTATTCTATGGTTATGTTTTGACCAGAAGCAAACCATACCACCCCACTTGTATGTTTGATGTGCACTGCAGGAATTGTAAGACTTAGATGTAATGTACCAATGGTTCAAACTCAACACATATTTGTAATTAATAATACTCACAGATGTTGCTAATGGTGATTTCTACCCCCATAAATCTTGATCATTTATATAAATGCACAGGACAGTTCTCCTGTAAAGTCAGTTTATCTTATTAAATGCAGAATACTCTGCTCTTTAATACAAAAAAAACCATTAAAAATATTCAGAATGCCTGTCAACAGCAGAGAAACATGACATCACTGTTTGAATTGTGCACTCTTCCTTAAAAAAAGCTTCATTTTGGGCTAAAATATCACAAATTATCAAACAATTTCTTTATATTTTCCCTAAATGTATATGCTCGAATGCAGAAAAAGAACATCAGAGGAAGACTGAAACAAAGGAAAATAATTACACTACCGCTGTTGATGCCTTCTGTAATTATCCATGCTCCTGTAGTCTCAGCAGCCTTCACCAATCCTTTGCTGAAAACCTGCTTGACCTTTGAGGGAAGCTTGAAATTTTGAATGCCTCCATGAACAGAGATCACTAGCTTTGGCAACTCCATCTGCCATTCTTTAACCATGAGGTGCAACAGCTGATCCAAATTGCTATCATAAGAGAGTCTAATATACTGGAAAAAATAATAATGGGTAAAATAAACATCCTTTACATACTCCAAGAGAAGAAACCACAACATCTTGCAAAGTTCTCAGCATTAATGTATTAAAGATTTTGTGCAGGATTAGAACTTTCACAATACCGCTAACATCACAGCATAAAAATACATCAGTGAGCAATACAGACAGCAAGACAGATTATGCTTAATCGCAGTGAAGTTTGACATGAAAATATCATACACACATTCTAACCTGACTTACTTTTAGATTCCCCTGCTCTCTTAAGACAATCTGATATTCCCCCAAAACCACTTTTTGTCTTTCTTATGCTGAAATTATAAAAAGAAGTCAGACATATAAGCCCATCATCTATTACCTTAGCGTGGTAAGTGTGATCTCCATCTTGAAAATTGATTGTACCAAATGCATCCGTTGGACTCATCTTTGTGTGTTTTTGCACAGACCATTCTCCATCATCTCTTTGTGGGGCAGCTGGATAAACAGGCCAGCTATAGTCTACTCCTGGGTGATCTCCAATCAGTCGTCCACAGCAACATCTCACATTAAAGAAAAAGAAATTATTTTATATCAAACAGACTTGCATGCAACTCTAGGATCTTCATCAGAATAGCCCAAATAGCTTTTCTGCAAAGAAGGATAGCGTAGCTTGCTGACAAGGTATATAATAAAAATTAACTCAGTGGCAAAAATCTCAACAATGGCAAAATGACATTCAATTTAATCATAAACATGTGTTGTTGGATACAGAATTTGTTCTCTGCCAGAGGAACACTAGTAACAGTTGGGGGGTTGGACAGGTTGATCTTCAAAGGTCCTTTCCAACTCAAACCATGACATGACTCTGTTTGACTCTGTAACAGTTTGAGAGTCCCATATGGCAATTCTGATCTGAGCAATGCAGCTCAGATTTACTGATCTCGTATGTGAGATTTCAGAGGAATATCTTAGGCCACCAAAGTTTGCTACGGTTATTACCACAGGTTATTATAGGTACAAAAGAAAGACCAAGAGCTATCATCATTAATCAGGAGGAGAGGAGCAACCTTCAGTCTAGAGAGAACTTCAGAGTGACCTTTATACTAACCCTTGGATGCCAGCAAAGTGAATATACAAGATAAACCGACTGAAGTGCAGTGTTAAGGGAAATCTAGCAGAAGCTCAGTTAGCATTAAAGGTTTGCAACTGGGTGAATAACCCAGATTCCAAATTCAATCAGTATTACTGTCATACAGGCTTCAACAGGCTCCGGTCTCCTCTATGGGATTAACTTCAGTGTAATTTATACTGATATCTGACAGTCCAGTTTTCCTTTAGACATTTCAGAAGTTAATATACCCTGGGAAATGGAGATAAATTCTTCCCTTTTAGTCTTTTAAGACACCAAACAGCCTCCAACAGCCCAAACTCAATGACAAAAACAAACCCCCGAAAAACCCTAAGCAAATTAAGGAAGTGAACTGCTTTAGAAAGGCACTTTTTGATACCCAGAAACCATGAAATTATATTTGCACTCCAGTTTTTCAGCACAGGCAAATTACATTTGATTGATTCAATGCTCTGCAAAAGCAGACTGGAGAAGGAAGCCGCCCACACTCTTGGGGAATTAATAACTCAATTAAACAATCTTATTCAGTGGATAATTAAAGAGTTGTAGAAGCCTCGCACTGCAGAAAAGGCTTGAGCACTACTGTCACATGTATGATAACAGTTAGCTAGAATTCAGAAGGCAATAGGGACTACCAAAAATGCCCAAATATTTGTCAAGCTAATTCAACATGGATTAGCTAACATAGACCACCTACACCTTTTCCCTAGCTGTAACAAATAGTAGGATACCACAGAAATCTAGTGACTTGCCAGAAAGAAGTCAGGCACATGCTCACAACTGAGTCCTGGAAAAATGAAGAGGAAATTATCTAGTTGGGGGGAAAAAAGACTCACAGAGGGGTTTTTATTGCCAAGTTACTCTAACCAGAAGTATTGCCTGGTCAGGCTCATGAACAAAAAGTATCCAAGCCGCAACTTGGAGAATAAGCCAGTCACACTAAGTCACTGACAGATATGCAATTAAATGACTATTTCAGAAGGCTGTGAGGGATCAACACAGATGGAAGATCATTGCTGACAATGTGTTCTCAAATAACATGTGGACTCAGAATCCACACTCAGAGGTGCTACAGAGACACATCTAAACTGAAAGTGTTTCAGAGCAATGTAGCTGCAAAGCAGATAGCACAAGGGAAGCAGTTTTGAATACAATCTGCCGGCAAAGAGCATGAGACTAGTTTAAGACTCTCCCTGCATACCTCAAAGAAAGGACCAGAAGAAAGAGACACTTTGGTGCTATTATTGGTCTTCAGAGGACAAACTTCTCTACAGCTGAGCTAGTAGCCTCCTTGCTCCCTTTTTTTCTACTTGCTTCTGGGGCGACTCCAGGCTAAGAGAACAGCACATGTCAGGAAAAATTTGATCTTTAGATGAAAGAGGAGAAAAAACATAGATATCCTGTTGTTCTTTGGTCCTGAAAATACCTTGTGGTCACTGTACTGCTCCTAGAATGTTCTCACAATAACAAGGCCTTTCATCCAGGAGTCAGATTCTGAGAGACAGAGAACCAATAACGATCCCAACTAAATACTACATTACCTTACATTACTCACTGAGATACCTCATTACACCATCTGGCTCAGCAAATACCAGTCCTTGGAAGGACAGAACTGAAAAGCAATCAGGCTCATCATCAGTGGGTTACCTTTTCTAAATCTGAATTAATTTTCAGCCCATCAAAAAATGAGCGCTGAATGACTATATCTCTCATTACTCTTCCTTACACAGTCACATCAGCAGCCCCTCCTAGAGCAGTAATAGCGAGAGCAACCTGCCTTTTCAAAGCTGAGATCCTACAGAAAGGAATGAACCCTATGACAAGACAAATCAGGGCAGTAACCTTGAAACTGAGAGGTCCAATGAACACTGAACTATTTTAGTAATTAGCATTATTTGCACTACATACTTAACTTATATGTAAATGTACCCAGAGGCAAGATGCACTCAGAACACCTCAGTTACGCTGAACAGGCAGTGGAGCAACTGCCCATGGATCCAATACACAGGTGTGAAGGGTACATGCAGCTGCAAGAGGTATGAACTCAAAAGGACTGGTATTTCCCAAATTGCTCATGCTCTGCTCCAACCTGGCACACTCGCTTTCTAGCCATCTAGCAGGAAGGGACAAGGTACCTAGCTACCCAGGAGGTCAAGAGCCAAGACTAAGAGACTCTCAGGAAAAGAAAGCAGAACATTTCATACAGCTGTGTGGGGTTTTTTTCTGTAAAGTTTTGTGCTGTGGGCATAGTGACAAGGCTCAAGGAGGAGAGGAGCTACCAGCTGGGGATGATGGCTAAGTCAGGATGTCCCTGGGACCTGCCTGGCTGCACTCCAAGGTGCTGAGGGAGGTGGCTGATGTCCTTGTATAGTTGTTCTTTATCAGCTCTCAAAGGTCATGGAGATCAGGGAGGTACCCAATGATTGGAGAAAGGCAAATTTCACACTTGACTTCAAAAAAGGGCAGACTCTGCCTGGAGGCTGGTATCCAGTGGGGTCCTGCAGGGTCTGTGCAGGCCTCTCCTGTTCCAACACCTCCAACAACAACCTGGAGGAAGGGATGGAGAGCACGTGCAGCCCTGGGGAGGAGGCAATTCTGTGGCATGGCCCTGGGTGCTGGTAGGAAGCAAGCCAAGTCAGGACCACCCATGTGCACAGGCAGCAATGAGGGCCAGCGGTGCCTGGGGTGGTGTGAGCAGGACATGGCCTGAGAGCCAGGGGAAAGCAGGGACTGTCCCCTCTGCTTGGTGCTTGTCAGTCCCTGTCTGGGTGTTGTCCCCAGTTTGGGTCCCCAACACAGAAGAGACACCAGCAAACTGGAGGGACTTCAGGGGAGAGTGACCATCCTGTTGACAGATGGTGGGTGCGGAGCCCTTGCCCTCTGAGAAGAGGCTGTGGGACCGGGGATGGTTCAGCTGTGAGGAGCAATGGCTTTGGAGGCACTCAACAGCATCCCTGGCACTGATGGGAGGGGATAGAGGAGAAGCAGTTGGGGCCTCCACAGCGGCGAGTAGGAGGAGGGCAAGAGGCAGAGACACGAGCTGAAACATGAGAGGGTCAGGCTGGAGATAAGGAGAAGCCTCTTCCCCAGGAGGACAGCTGAGTGGTGGAGCTGGGGCCTTGGGAAGGTGGGCTCTCTCCGGCCTTGGGGGTTTTATGCCCCAACTGGATAAAGCCCTGAGCAGCCCGGTCTGACCCCCAACTGAGGCTGCTCTGGGCAGGGGCTGGGACTGGAGACCTCCCCAGGTCCCTGACAGCCTGAGTTGTCCTGTGGTCCTGTGAATATATCACATGCATTGATTCAAAGCATCTTTGCAATGACTTTACTTTCTTTGCCTTGAAGGCTAACTAAGCTACTAGTGAAGCAAGGAGCAATGTCAGCAACAGAAAAGCAGACTCCTGGAAAAGTCACACTTAGAGCAACAAGGGGAAACCTGGAGGGTCAACAACGCGGCAAAAGTAACTGCAGTGGCCAGATTACAAAATCCGGTGCCCTCGTAGGCAGTGCTTTGAAGACTGTGTTCAAGAAATATGCCTAAAAGGTCAGACATAGAGACAATTTGTGAGAACAACTCAGATGTGTAAGGATCCAGAAGTTTAGCACCACGTTGCTGAATATTCATGGAGTGAGATAGGTCTAGGTGCTGTCTGGGACATGTTTGTGAGCAATGTACTGAAGAGTAGGTAGAGGCCATTTCAACACACCAGGGGAGCATGGGCAAAGGTGCTAGTAAGTTACTCAAATTTGATTAGCAACTACTAATGGAGTTACTCTACTTAGCATTAGCAAATAGTTGCATAACCCACTCATAAACTGTTTGCAAACCTTGGAAGTTCTCCGCAAGTAAGAAACCATTAACAGATTTAATTTGCCTGCGATATTAGCTAAAATTATAGTAGGCATCACGTACATTCACATCACTTTTCAACTGTTGTGGAAAATTACACATCTCAGGAGGCCCAAAACCTGTTTCATTGCTTATCTAATAAATGCAATATAATCAGTTGTAACACTCGTGAAAATTATTTCCCCTTGTTAGGAACAGAAAAATTCTCCTAGAAGAAAGCTCTGTTTACGCCTTAAGAGATACAAGAAGACAAGAACAGTTAACATTGAGGAAATGTACATGCGAGGTAATGGCTGACTGAAGTGAACATCAGACACCCATACACATTTCACATATGTATAGAAACTGACAAAAAGGATTCATATCACGAAAATGCTTAACAAAAAGTGAAAGAAACAACTACAAGATAAAAAACCCACAAAGGTACAGGATGTCTTTACAGAGAAAGGTGAAAGAAAAAAGCAAACCCACCCTGTGGGGTGCACATTTCCAGTGTCTCTTCCTCCCTCTCCCACTGTAGTATTGACATTCATGCAGCTAACCTGTGATGAGGAGGCTAATTCGGTGGAAAGCTAATCTTGGTTTGGTTTTCCATGCCCCCGGGTTAACTTTCATACCAGTGAACTTCCCAGACCAAGTAACAACATGGTCACTCTGCAGGGTGAAGGGGAAGGACTGCAGAACTGCTGTAGTCTTGATTTAGATGGGATTAAATCACCACATTTTGAAGCACAAGTTAACTTCATCTTAGATACCCACCTGGGTATCTGCAGGTTAGCAGGAAGCATTAAAATCCTCCCTGCATTTATACTTCCAGAAAACCTGCAAAAATCTTTGAGTCTCTATTCTTCTGCTCTAAAGCAAAATAAACACCCAACCATTCCCTCAGAGGGAGTTGTCCCTTTCTGAACTGATGATGCACAGATCATTTGCCTTATTTACAAAGCCAACACCATTCTGCATATCGGCCCTTTACAGTGATCTGATTTCAAGGAGGAACATATTTGCTTTTTGGAAAATGTGACTCTTGTTTCACATAAATCTTAGAAGCAAAATAAAATGTGAAACACATTGAAAAAGCAAATAATCATGTCCATGCAGGTGACAGGATTAGTTAGCACCAGTTTACTAGTCGTTAGTTATAGGAAACATTGTTTTCTGTTGCTTCAGAAACCAAAAACCAATGCCAAGGAACATTAAAATTTCTGTTCCAACAACTGGTAATTTATTATCATAAACATACAGTATGGAAACCCATTTTTGGGAACACCAGCAGAACAACAAATGTTGGATTGAAAACAACTAATTAATACAAGCCACAAAATACTAGCTCTCTAAAAAACCCACATGAGTTAAAAGCACCAAAGTGATGTGATTTTTGTTGCTTGCCTTCTCAAAAGCAGGAACTTAGAATGCCCACTGCAGAGAAGAAAAAATCTTATTTTACCCAGATTTATGCTAAAGATTCTCCAGCACACCCTCAGAAATGCTGCTCTAACAATATAAGAGGAAGGTTATTTTTGTTGTCATTACTTCCTTGACTAGCAAAGCCTACCACTAATTTTACGTCATTATAAAAACCATAGATACATATTTATGCACTCCTACCTGATTAAATTCTGGCACACCTGACATCCTGCAGGACACCTGTGATAAAAGATGGATAATTAGTACATGCTCGTATGAAAGAAAACATCTGTAATGTTACTCATAAAGTATCAATTCACTTGTGAAAAAATTATCATCAACAGCATTAAAGGCTGTGTTCTTACGTCCTCACCCCTGGAAGATGTACTGGGTAACTTCAATGGTTCATTTGGCATTTTACATCTCAGGCTGTATGTCAAATCTGCATTTCATAGATGAGTTATCTATCTTATCTGCTCTACGCTATCTATATGTTCAAAACAATATGATCAAAACTACAAGTTTACATCTTCAGAACATGATCTCACTAAGTTTATTTAAGCAAAACCATCCACTACAGACACAATCTGGAATGCGAAATTATGTTTACTTTCTCAGGTCCTAAAACACAGGTTGAGGATTTGATCTTTTCCTCACTCTTTTCACACTCTACACCAGCCTGAGCAGAAACCTTTCTCAGAAGACTGTGATCAGCAGTGGGCATTGCTCTGAGGAAGGGAGAAAATGGTGGTACAGGATTAAGAATTCCTGTTCAGCAGTAACTCCATGTAACTCAGTCTCTCAGTTGGATGCCATACCACAGTTTTGGTTATCGGACTGAGAGCAACACACCTAAGAAGCCTACGAAGGTTAATGGCCAATTTCTAATTCAAACAAACACCCTCATTTAAAACATACTGGTGGTAGTACCTATGAGAACCCATAAACACCAGCAATCACCAACTGGGGCATTGCAAAACTGCAAAGAACTTCATCCAAGCTACATGCAACACCCATAAAAATTTCTTCTGATTCTTTCCAAATGTAACAGAAAGAAAGTGAAATTCATTGCTGTACCTGTGAGGATCTTTTGAATTGGGAATGATGTGTGCACATTCTCTTTTACTGAAGACCAATTCGATCCAAGATTTGGGGGCCTGGAAAGACATTTCAAATGTAATTGTATTCCTGAACTTCAGAACATAATGCCAACAATTGCACTATAACGTCTACACAGCTTATACGCATAACACATAACTCAAAATGATTCCCATAATGTTAGATGAAATCAAACACTACAAGCTGAAGGTACAGCTCTGAACAGTCCCAGCTCTTCATCCCCAGGCTTTGCACAGCTCCACAGAAAGATCAGTATTAAAATTTACTCCCACCCCTCAGTAATAAACATGAAAATTATTTAGAGGATCTGTCAAACACACATACAATAGAGGAACTGGTAAGGATGAATCAGAACTGCTTAAAGGACTGGACTTCCCTCCTGCCAGAAAACTAGCAAATGACAATCTTACTAAAGCTGTGTCAAAAAGGCAAGATTTTACTTTTACCTGAAACAAACGGTTGATTCCTTCTTTTATTATTCTTAACAGAGTTAAGAATAGATTCATCCTGGTTATATGTTTGCTGAACTAGGACTACAGTGAAATGCAAAAGCAGGGAGCAAAGACTAGACCTATCACTTAGAGTGTATATCAGGTGGGTTTTTTCCACTGGCCTCCTGGGACACTGTGAAAACTGTCTCAGTGAAGCCTGTTGCAACTGAGTAAACTGAAAAGTCACTGTGGTACATAGATTTTTTTCAAAGAGTCACTTCACTGGGAGTCTTTGAACCTCTTTCTCTTCAGGTCTATCTAAATTCCCTAAAATGAATGATAGGTTTTGGATGCTGAACTTTTAAATTTCTGGGACTGAATTTGGTAAACACTGGAAGCAAACGATTTTTTTGTCCTCAAAGGGAACTACCCCCCCAATGAAACAAAAACCAGAAAAATATTATATCATAAAGAGTAAATACAATTATACCAACCATTATTGTCTCATTGTTCCTCATGTTCATTTGACTCTCTGTCTATCTTGGGGGTGGATGAGGAGTGGACCAAGAGCGTATGGGTCAGGATTAAAGGGAACGCAGGGACAGTTGACATTACAGTACAGGTTTGCTACAGGCCACCTGACCAGGAAGACCGAGCAGATGAGGCCCTCTGTAGATACATAGCAGCAGCCTCACATTTACAAGCCCTGGTCTTCATGGGGGACTTCAACCACCCAGATAGCTGTTACAGAGACAACACAGCAGGGCGTACGCAATCCAGGAGGTTCCTGGAATGCATTGATGTAAAATTCCTTCTCTGAGTGATAGAGGAGCCAACGAGCAGATGTGCATGCTGGACCTTGGTCTTAGCAACAAGGAGGGGCTGGTGGGGAATGTGAAGCTCAAGGTCAGCCTTGGCTGCAGTGACCATGAGATGGTGGAGCTCAAGATCCTTAGGGCAGAAAGGAGGGCGTGCAGTAAGCTCGCTACCCTGGACTTCAAGAGAGCAGGCTTTGGCCTCTTCAGGAGTCTGTTTGGCAGAGTACCATAGGATAAAGCCCTGGAGGGAACAGGGGCCCAAAAAAGCCGGCTAATGTTGAAGGATCACCTTCTCGAAGCTCAGAAGCGATGTATCCCAACAAAAAGGAAGCTGGGCAAAAATGCCAGGATGCCTGCATGGATGAACAAGAACTTCCTGGACAAACTCAAACTCAAAAAGGAAGCCTACAGAGGGTGGAATACAGAGAAATCATCTGAGCAGTGAGGGATCAGGTTAGGAGAGCCAAAGCCCTGTTAGAATTAAATCTGGCCAGGGACATCAAGAGCAACAAGAAAAGCTTCTACAGTTATGTTGGTGATAAAAGGAAGACCAGGGAAAATATGGGCCCCCTAAGGAAGGAAATGGGAGACCTAGTCACCCGGGATATGGAGAAGGCTATGGTATTCAATGACTTTTTTGCCTTGGTCTTCACCAGCAAGTGCTCTAGCCACACCACCCAAGTCACAGAAGGCAAAGGCAGGGACTGGGAGAATAAGGAACTGCTCACTGCAGGAGAAGATCAGGTTTGAGGCCATCTCAGGAACCTGAAGGTGCATAAATACCTGGGACCTGATGAAATCTATCCACGGGTCCTGAGGGAACTGGCAGATGAAGTTGGCAAGCCACTATCCATCATATCTGAGAAGTCATGGCAGTCCAGTGAAGCTCCCACTGACTGGGAAAGCAGAAACCCCCATTTTTAAAAAGGCTAAAAATGAAGACCTGGGGAACTACAGGCCAGTCAGTCTCCCCTCTGTGCCTGGCAAGAGCATGGAGGAGATCCTTCTGGAAACTATGCTAAGGCACATGGGAAAATAAAGAAGTGATTGGTGACAGCCAATGTGGCTTCACTATGGGCAAAACATGCCTGACAAATTTGGTGGCCTTCTAGGATGGCATTATAGCACTGGTGGACAAGGGAAGAGCAGAAGACATCATTTACCTGGACTCGAGCAAAGCATTGGACACTGTCCCGCATGACATCCTTGTCTGTAAATTGGAGAGAGATGGATTTGACAGGTGGACTGCTCAGAGGGTAAGTAGGGTCACAGTGGCACAGTAGGGCCTTGGTTTATTATTAGAGATACAAAAAAAATAGTAATCAAATAATAAACATTGACTCCTTATTCAGTCCTCACATTTGAAAATGATTGTTCCTCTGCAAAATATCTACCCTGTAAAAATACTTATGGTAAGTACTTGTCTCCATACCTATTTGTAAAATGTGTCATTTGCACAATGACTTCAAAAAGAATTCAAATCATGAGAATGCCAGTAATTCAACTTACTAAGAGTACCACTGGGAGCATTTTATGGATGGAGTTCAGCAATAACTCTTATAAAAGAGAATACCTCTCTTTTGTCTCCTGAATGGAGTTATGATCCTTAATAAAGCAGGCCCACCTGACATTTTTTTTACTTCAGCTTCACATCCCTACATACACCCACATAATCTCTCAGCTAGTCGAACAGTTATGGAGGGCCACAAGCTACATGAGTGAACTATCATCTTGTCTGCAGGTGGGGACCCAGCTTCCACCAAGACTAACGGGAGTCCTACCTTTGGTTTTAATGTTCTCTGACACAGGCCCCCACTGACACAGATGAAAGAGACCATTAAAAAGCAGTTTGCTGGTATTGGTGAGCATGTGTATTCTCCTGGGAGCAACTAATTGAACTCTGTCTGGTTCAGCTTCGAATGAAGGACTAACAGCATGGAAGATCCTCAGGGCTAGACAGAACGCAGGCATGCAAGAAAATTATCTTAAAAACAGGCCTGCTGAAGACAAAGTGCAAAAGTTAAATCCAGAGAAAAACCTTGGAAACAGTGAAGCAAATTTCATTACCTTAGGGCAGGCACACAGTGCTCACAAAAACCTTTTATTAGTAATCTTGTTAGTAATCAGTACTGTTTCACGCTTCCTAAACTGCTTTATTCCAGTTGTTTGAGCTCTCAAGCAAAGCAGTTAAATGTTTCTAATATTTTGATACCCTGGGACTCCCATTTTTCTGAACCCCATTACTATTTCTTGTAATCAGTTTTCAACCAGAACTAGGGAACAAAAAATCTTATGAGATGCCTTCTACAAGAGTGAGCTTCACTAAACTCTTCATTAACCGCAAAGGGTGTGACAGAATAGCCAGGAGGTTGACAAGCCTTACAGCATTTGCTGAGGTAACATGCTCAGCCTTGTGAGAGAAAAACATCCAACTGCTGTCACTTAAATTTAGTAAGAGCACTAGTAGTTCAAACTAATTTTGAGCAAGCCGTCGGCATCACACCGTCTCAGGTAGCTTCCCTTCAGCTAGTTTACTTCCCACATGACATATTCTGGAAATCAAGCTTTATCTGGGTATCTTTCCAGGCGTGAAGACCAGCATTGGAGATCTACAGCCCAGTGTAACAGGGGAGCATTGCATCAGCCCAGGCACCACCAGCAAAACGTGCTGTCAGCTGAGCAAGGCAGTGGCACTCAGCTAATCCAACTGTGACCACACAAGGGGCGTCAAAGAAGTTTTCCCCTCCAAAGCTCAGAGTTCTTCATCATAAATTTACGCAATACAAGATAAAACATAAATCTATAATTTTTAAGGGGGGGGAGGTCATCTGGTACACAACAGCTGTTTGGTGTAGTTACATCAAACCAAAATATAACTTATAGTCCTCAGCAATGGCAATACACTGTGTGAGTTGAAGCTACAATATCTAATATGGGAGATGAAAAGGTTTCCTCTATACTATCAGCTTTTTGAACATCTAAGCTCTCTCCTAAAAACATACCTTGTTTTAAAGATTTGTCTTTTTTTAGATTTTGGAGGGCGGTTGGGGGTTAAGACAAAAATATCAGTGCTTAAAATTCTGGATGTTTTGTTTATCCTTTTTCAGTCTGCTCAAGTATTACCTGTGTTTTTCTGCAAGTGAGGCAGTAAGGGCAGCGACTAACACACGCTACAGCTGATCAGGCCACCCTAGTCACAATGAGTCGGGCTCAAGGTTCAACAAAGCCAACGGAAAAAAAAACTGTACAGCTTCCCACTACTTGCTTGCTACTACACAGGTCATTGACAAAATTACCGTTTATTTCAGACGAAAAAGATCACTATGAAATTTAATTGACCTTTGACTCTTGAAGCACCAAGGATGCACCTCAGCCAGTGGCACAGAGATTCCCCTAGCACAACACTCATCTGTTAATTCCACCTCAGGATTCTCAGTAAATAGGACTGAAAACAACATTTCAAAGTGCAATTGATACCATACTGGGAGTTTTCACCCTGTCCTGCAAAGAAACATAGTATTTTCCCATACAGATATTTCAACATTAATCTTTGATTATTTACATTAAGAGTTTGCTGGAGTGTTGCCTGTGCTGCGCTCTTTCACTTCCTTGCTTCCTGTAATTTTTGCATTTAAAAAAGCAGTACTTAAATAACGTATCATCTGTATATGATCCCAATGAAGCCTGTAACTTTAACTTCTATTTTCATCTCAAATGATAAACATGGGAGTATAGCAAAAAACATCATTTGTGAAGTCCACCATTTTTTTCTTTAATGAAGTTCCTGAACAGATGGCAGTA